ATTCCCTCTATTGCAGTATATCCAACTGAAGGGAATGCAACCACTCTCAATGCCTCTGAGATTATTTGCTCAAGGGCTCAGGAGGAAAATAATGTGAATACAGGCTATGGCTAAAGATCTGGGGGTTGCATCTTGGAATCTGGGAACAGCGCTACCATAAGTGGAGCTTATATTCAGAGGATACTTGAAGCCCAAGTGTTGATACACTTAAAACTCCAAAATAGCCCCCATTTTTGGCCTCTTCATGTCACCTTCTTCTACCTTTAAAGTGCCTGACAGAACCTGACATTACCCTGGCGCCACATCTTCTGCAGGTTTCCTCACACCTTTTTAGGGTGTGGGAGTACTTGGTAGCCATAGTGATATTCTTGGCACGTATGTGTGGCCTGAGGTGCAAGGGAAGTTCAGCTGAAATAGAGGTAAATAGAACCATAATGGTTATTCCTGTCATCCTCTTGTCTGAAATCTCCCAGCTCAGATCTCTCTCCTGGACTAGGAGTCCTCTGGCTTGAGCTGTTTCATTTTTCTCCCTTTATCACCACCCTTCTTTATCCAGACTCACAAAAGAAAGAGACTGGATGGCTATGAAAATCGTTAACAATGGTAAAAGCTTCCATCTTCTTGGAGCAGAAAAGGGCTTGACAGAAACATGACTTTCAAGGTCCGTGAAGCTCAAGTCTGTCACGTGGTTATGTCTACTCTGGCTCCAAGTTTGATCTCTCGGGCAACATAAAACAAATCTGTTTTTTCCATACCTCAATATATGATGTTGAAGAAAACTCTTATGTTCTTTCTGAATCTTTTCTGCTAAGCATCTCTGGTAGGGCAATAAGAAATCCTTCCAAAACTCTAGATGGGTTTTTCCTGATGATGAAGACCGGCAGTTCTCATGAAGGCAGCCCCACCACTTGGGGGCGTTTTAGAAATATGTGTGTTTCTGAAACAAATAACGCAACATATTTTAAGAAAAAAGGAAAAGAAGAAGATAACAGGAGAGGAAGAAAAGGGGAGTATGTCAGAGGGGGAGACGAACCATGAGAGATGATGGACTCTGAAAAACTGAGGGTTCTAGAGGGTAGGGGCGTGGGGGGATGGGTTAGCCTGGTGATGGGTATTGAGGAGGGCACGTTTTGCATGGTGCACTGGGTGTTATGAACAAACAATGAATCATGGAACACTGCATCAAAAACTAATGATGTAATATATGGTGATTAACATAACAATAAAAAAATTAAAAAAAAAAAAAAAAGAAATATGTGTGTGTAGGGGGAAACTTTTGGTTGTGCAGTGCTGCTGGCATATTGTGCACAGGACTGGGGTCACAAAGAAAGGTTTGGATCCCAGTGGGAAAAAAAATGGAGCGGGGCAGGTGAGCAAAAATTTTTATATAGGATTTGGGTTGATGAGCAGTGAAACAGGGCCATGTGCCCCCTTCCGTGTCACCAGCCTAATAACTAGAGCCAACAATCCCCTAGCTCACTGATCCTGACCAGAAATGCAGAATATCCTCAGAAGCAAGAAACAGCCTTATGCATTGAAGATTCTTTGCCTGGCCCCTCACAACCTCAAATATATAGATGTACATTTTAGGCAGGTGAAACTTTGTTTATAATTATCAGAGTCTAGAATTCTGTTTTATATGTAACCATATAACCATAGAGTCTTTTTATATACGCTAAATCTTCCAGAAATGCAGCCTCTTGTTAACTGAAGGATTGTGCTTGCTTTCGTTCAGAACTTGACTAAGAGTCATTCACCGTTTCAGAAAAATCATGTCACAGACAACAGTGCCCTGTGTGGTATATGTGTCTCCAAAATCAATCTACATTTTTAACTGTCACTGTCACAGTGATTCTGCATGGAGGCACAAACATCTGACCACTTTATCATGTTTCCTACTGCAGTTGTGCCCAGTATACATAGTGAGCTCATTGATATATTTAATATCATGAATATATATTTTTTTATTATAAGCGGACTTTCATTTTATTTCTCCCTTATTAGGGTAGGGAAATATTTTAGTGCATTCAGGCTACAATAACAAAATACCACAGACTGGGTAGCTTATAAACAACAGAAATTTAGTTCTTACAGTTCTGGAAGCTGAAAGTCTGAGACCAGGGCACCAGCACGGTTGGGTGAAGACTCTCTTCCAGGTCGTTTGTAGTCCTCACATAACAGAAGGGCCTAGGGACCTCTCTGGAGCTTCTTATTCATGAGGGCTCCATGTTCATGATTTAAGCACCTCCTAAAGTCCCCACCTACTAAGACCATTACCTTAGTGGGTGAGGACTTCCAACATTTTGCAATTTGGGATGGGGGTGGAGGGGAGTGAGATACACAAACATTAAGACTACAGGATTAATAATTTATATTTTTTAGGTATAAGAGCTAGTAAACTATATTATGTATGCCATTTCATTTCAGAGTAGCAAAAGGGATGTTATATAATATTTACTAGAATGTGAAATGATAATATTTTATATGTCTCTTTCCTATTGTTGCCATAACAAATTACTTGGTGGCTTAAAATAACATAAATTTATTATCTTACAGGTTGTGGTCCAAAGTCAGAAATGGGATTCACTGGGTTTAAATCAAGGTGTCATCAGGGCTGTTCTCCTTCTAGAGGTTCTAGGGGGAGAAGCTGTTCCCTTGCCTTTTCCACTTTCTAGAGACCACCTGCATTTCTTGGTTCATGGCCCATCCCTCCATCTTGAAAGCCAGCAGTATAGTATCTTCAAATGTCTCTCTGACTCTGACCCTCGGGCTTTCATTATTACATCTCCTTCTCTGACTCTCACCCCCTGCCATCCTCTCTTACAAGGATTCTTCTGATTCCATTGGGCCCACCTGGGTAATCCAGGATAATCTCCCTCTCTCAAGATCATTAAGCACATTTGCAAAGTTCCTTTTGTCACGTAAGGTAACATATTCCTGGGTCTAGGGAGTAGGACCTGGACATCTTTGGGGGGGTCTTTATTCTGTCTCTCACACTTTATTTATTTATTTTTTAAAGATTTTATTATTTGTCAGAGAGAGAGAGAGCACAAAGCAGAGGAAGCTGTAGGCAGAGGAAGCAGACTCCCTGCTAAGCAAGGAGCCCAATGCGAGACTCGATCCTAGGACCCTAGGATCATGACCTGAGCCAAAGGCAGATGCTTAACCGACTGAGCCTCCCAGGCATTCCTATCACACTTTAATATACTTGTTCTGGTAAGATTGAGACTCACAGATAAAACGAAAGCATTAAGCTTGATGCTCCCTCTCTTTCTGACTTGGGGCAGCTTGATTTCTTTCTTGACCTTGGCTGGGACTGAACCTGTTCCAGGGCTATGGTGTCTAGAGAACCACCTAATCCCTCCCTGGGTGAGCCACTGGCTCCTGAGGGAAGACCGGTTGCTGCAAGGCCCTGAGTTGCCAGGCAATGTGGGTCCAGGTATTCATTTGAAGCTAACCTGGATTGAAGAGCTCCTTTAAATTCTTTTTTTTTTTTTTTTCCATTGGGAGCATGTATTACTCTTTGGGGCACCCAACTTTATTTTATTTAATTAATTCTTTTAAAAATTGTTTTATTTTTATTTTATTTTTTTAAATTGAAGTAGCATTGACATGCAATGTTATATTAGTTTCAGGCGTACAATGAAGTGACTTGACAACTCTATACTTTATGCTGTGCTCACAGGTGTACTTACCATCAGTCACCATACAGCGCTATTACAGTACCATTGACTATATTCCCTGCGCTGTATCTTTCATCCCTTTGACTTAATCATTCCATAACTGGAATCCTCTATCTCTTCTTCCCCTTTTTCCCATCCCCCCACCCCTCTCCCCTCTGGCAGCCACCAGTGTGTTCTATGTATTTGTGGTTCTGTTTCAGCTTTGTTTGGTTGTTTTGTTTTTTAGATTCCACAGTAGGTAAAATCATATGGTATTTGCCTTTTCAACTTTAATAACAGCTGTCTGGCATTAAGAAGAGTGGCATTTAGGGGCACCTGGTGGCTCAGTAGGTAGAACATGTCTTGATCTCGGGGTCGTGAATTCCAGCCCCACATTGGGTGTAGAGTTTACTTAAAAAAAAAAAAAGAAAAGTGACATTTAGGTCAATGGACATTTTAGAATTGCCCCTCCAATGTCCTCATTCCTAGGAAAGAAGAAAGACAGAACATGTTGGTATTTTCCCGGCAGCAGACACATGTTTAAAGGAGATTTGATAAAAAGATAGAAATGAGGGTTTTCATTTTCAAAGCCTGCCTCCTCTCCATAATACAGCGTGCATCCAGCACACCTGCATCATCAGGGAGCTCCCAGACCTCTATGCCCTGGGTAGGGGTGCTGTGGGAACCCCAGGTAGTACTGCAGAAGACGGATGCCCCTTGCAGTCTAAATAATCCTGTTAGGTATATACCAAGGGGGTCAGTTGGCATCTGCTGTATTCTGCAAACAGTCTGCCTTTGGGGGAGGAAGGAGGAGGGACGAGGGGCCCATCACACTTGAGAAAGTATAAGCCTGACAGCTGAGGGTTCCCAGAGCAGCAAGCATCGCCTCTTCTCTTGGACAATTTCAGCTGTCTGCTTTGGATTGACAGAGGCATCTGGCTGCTAAAAATACCCTACTGACCAAGTGCTCCCTATTCTAACTAAAGCTGAGCACAACTGCCATCCAGGACTGAGCTTATTCTTGCAAAGGAACTTTTCAAAGTTTTCAGGCCCAATTCAAGAGGCACACCAGCCCATGGTCATTTTTGCCTTGTCAGCTTTGCTGGGTGATGAACAAGACCCTTGTCAGATCACTGTCTTCTCGGGTGCCCCATTCCACCTCCAGGAAACGTGACAGAGGGGGAGGTGAGGGCCCAGTGGTTGAGAGGGGGTAGGGAAAGGGGAGGTGCTTGTCCATTTATAGGCTTGCTCTTTGGGATGCTGAAGGTGCTGAAATAGCAAGGACAAGGGACGTGGCTCAGTGTGAAATATCCACCGAGCTTCCTGAAGGACTCTGAGATGACAATAGGGAGAATGGAGAACGTGGAGGTCTTCACTTCTGAGGGCAAGGGCAGGGGTCTGAAGGCCACTAAGGAGTTCTGGGCTGCGGATGTCATCTTCGCCGAGCGGGCTTATTCTGCAGTGGTTTTTGACAGGTATGGAATGTGGGGTGTTGCCGCCTTTTCTCTGTTGGTGTGGCTCTAAAATCCTTTGCTCTCAAAATCATCAGGGAAAGGGATAGAATCCATGTGATCATTTTTAACAAAATGGCACTTCTGACAGCTGCTTTCTGGCATCACTTTTTCTGGAAAGAGTCATTGCTAGTGTGATTTGCTCTGGTCCCTAGGAGGGTTGTAAAGGTGAGCAAAGGCTTTGGGGCACTTTCTCACAGTACTGTTGAACTTGGCTGAGGGGTGTGCTGTGTGTGGGGAGGGCAGCGGGAAGGGGAATGAAAAGGTGGGTGTGGTGCTATAGGAAACAATTTCCTACAGAAGGCTCCATGTTTTTAGCTTCTTGAGTATAATCAATATATTAGAGCATAAAGTAATTGCCAAGACTTTAAAAAAAGCAATTGTAAATATACAAGTAACACTGGAATCCATTTACATTTGAAAAATTAGAATATCACCAATGAAGCTAAAAGCCCTTTTTACCTCTCCCACCCCCAATCCCAATCTTCTCTGTCTTTCCTCAGAGTTAATACCTGTTATGATTTTAATGTGTTTCCTTCTAGAATGTTCTTGTACTATTATATACATATATCTGCATTTATCACAAATGTATAGCTCTAGTTTTTTTTTTTTTAACAGACGTGGTATCATACTTCGGATGTCATTCTAGAACTTGCTCTCTTCACTAAACAACGTTTTTGATATATATTCTTATGGGAACTATAAGTTTATAGATAATTCTTTTAAATCCTCAAAGATTTGTTTCTTTTACCCACGTGTAGATCTCTCCATGTTGATCCATATGCTATGTGGATTGCCAATTTTGACTGCTGTAGATATTTCACCCTATAAATACATGAAAACTTATTCATCCACTTCCCTATTGAGAGACATTTGGTGGTTTCCAGTTTTTCATGAAAACAAACATTTCTGCAATTAAAATCCTTGACCATGCCCACTTGTACACGTGTGATTATTCTCCAGGATATATGGCTAGAAGAGGAATTGTGCCATAAAGTGTGCTATTTCTATTTTAATAGGCTCTCCAAAGTGGCTGCATTAAATTTACATCCCCATTTCCCCACAACCATGTCTATACTTGACTACCAAACTTTTAAATTAGTATTAAATCTTTATTTAAAAAAAAAAAACCCGGCCAAGCAATTGAATTGTAACAATATTCTCCAAGCCCAAAGTTGGAGTGACCTGCCTGACATTGATGTGGTCTGAATCAAGATGGCCTCTGATAATCTAGGCTTTGTGGTTGGCTCACTGTACTCACCATCCTGAGAATGGGCACTGCTTTTCAGAGATAATTTGATTCGTATTTAGATTTTCCTTTCTTCCTGTCTACCAGGACCTTCAGGGAGAAGGCAGTGAACAGAGTATATGGCTGACTGTCACCTGTGGAACATAAGGTGCCTGAGGTGACAGTAATACCTCTTCAACGGAAGTTTGTCTTACTTGGTTAATTTACTTGTGTATGGTGTCATGGCTGGAGGTGAGTGTAGTTGAGGAGTCAGTTGGATTCAGAATTAAGATTAAAAAGCTAGAAAACAGAAACTCTGAACCCTGATCTTGGTGCTGCCACTGAATGGCCACATTGCCTTATATAGAATACCTCCATTGGTGCCTCCAGTTCCCTAAAAGCCAATATAGCCAATTAGTATCCCTTTCAAGAGTGTTTGGAGTTGAGTGGGTTTTCCTTTCCATTAAAACAGTAAAACTAAGGAAGAAAAAATATATCTTCACACAAAGATACTAACCCTAAACATTGTTGTGTATTTCCTTCCAGCTTATTTTAAAACATAGGTTTCGTTTGTACTACACAGCTGGGGTCTTATGATAGAAATGATGATGTTTTACATTTAATAATTTAGCTACTTCTTTGTTACTAAGTTCTCTTCATAAACATAGTATTTAATGGCTGTGTGCTCTCCTACCACTTCTTTATGACTGAACATTTAGGATGTTCACATGTTTTTCTTACCATAAATAAACCATCATTCATTTGAAGTAATAACTACAAAACAACTTTAGTGTACATTTCGGATAACATGCTAGCAAAATGTTACATTATTATTACAGTAATAAAAATTGGGATGATTGAGGTAAATGATCTTTAAAGTGATTGAGAAAAATCTAAAAGAGATACTTTTAAAAAGTGATTTTTTTCCCCAAATTTGTCACTTCAAAGATGAGGGGGCTGCTCTTTGGCTATACCTGGGATAGCCTGGAGAGGCAGCAAAGGAAATCTTTGCCCATTGTTTCCTCCCCTTTTAGCCTCCTGGTGAGACTCAGCCACTGTAGATGAGAAACCCGAGTGGGGAGGTAGGACTGAGTCACTCATAAAAGAGGCACATTCTAATCCATGTTATTGCAAGCCAGGCTTTCTGCCCTACCCTCCAAACACAAACACGTGGAAAGATTTTATTTTTAGTTGAGTGCTATATTAAATGAAAATTCTTTCCAACAATACATGGCATATATTGTACATATGAATGTTATGAAGCATAACAATAAATGAATACCCAGGAAACATAACAGTAACTGAACACCCATGAAACCATCATCCTGCTTAACTAGAGCGTGCCATTATATTGCATCTTCTCTATCTTTCCCTATCCGGTCCCCGGCTTGTCACAAAGGTAACTAGTATCTTGAATTTTATGTTATTATTCCCATACATTTGGGTAATAATTTTATCACATGTATACATATTCCTAAACAATATATAATTTAGTTTTTGTGTTTTATTTTTGATCTTTGAAACAATGGTATAATATTACATATGACTTTATGCTACTTGCTTCTTTGACTCAGTGTTAGTTTTATTATTCATCCATATGGTTTTGTATAACTAAGGTGTCAGTTTGTACCATAGTTTATTTTTCCATTCTTCTGCAGGTGGTTGCAATGGACATTTTTCATTTTATTTCTTGGTAAACAGATACATCAGGTGTGTATCCTAGGAGTGGAAATACCCGATCATAATGCATGTGATATTCAGCTTTAAAATATAATGCCATAGTGTGTAAGGTTGACTTGCAAGTTTGCATTGTCTTTGTTAGGATAGACTTAGTTTAGCATTAACAGCAACAACCCAGGCCCTTATAATATAGTCCTTAGTCTGGTTAGGATGTCTTGAATTTTGCTGGTTGGAGAAACAGGTGGTCTCCTTAAAGATAAAGGAGCAAGAATAAAGTAAAGACAATCTTTTTAGGGCTGGCAAATATGTAACACTTGGGCTTCCACGATCCCTGCTAGGTATAGTTAATCAATTGGGCAACTCCTTTCTGAACTCCAACTTAGCATAAGGATTTTTTCTACCAGGGTGCTCCAAGCAGCCCTTACTAATCAATCAAAACTGGCATTTAAAAGAACAGCTATTTGCCATCCCTTTTAGGTGTTTGGTTGGGTGCTGGAAAGGGATGAAGGTGAAGTAGGTGGGTAAAGTCAATTTACCAAGAAACTGTCTTTAATGGACATGGTCCTTTAAAGTGGATGAATCCCCAAGGGTGGTAGATGAACTGTTAAAAGTTTCTCTCGACCCCTCGTGCTCTCTACTCTGAGTGTGCCCAGTTTTCGGGAGGACAGAGAATAGGAGCCTATGATATCTTAGCTTGAATGATCCTGCTTATTTCTACATGAGATTGGACTAATCTGGGAATTCATGATGTTGTCTTGTTCAGATTTTTTAGCTTATTTTAGAAAACGTAGAAATTACAGAAAAATCAAAGTAAGAAAATAAAAATTCTCTGCAAGTTTAACATTCAGATAAAACTACTGTTAATATTCTGGCATATATCCTTATGATTGTTTTGTTTTGTTTTACTTGAAGTATAATTGGCTCCTTATAATTGTTTTATGCAAATATGATCCATATGAAATATTTTTTTGATCCCAGTGATTTGTAGGTGGAGTGGTGATGGTGGGAGAAACACAACATTAAATGTACACCTTGATGGTAAATTGCTTCCCTAAAATTAACATATTGTATTAAAATATGGGGGGCAGTTTATTTTACAATTAAAGGAATATGACACAGTATAGTATTTTATTAATTCTAGGATACATATTTCATTTTGACATCTCTGAAATTATGATGTATCCTACAATCTGTGGCTCATGGTTTAATTGGGAGCATTTGTTTGTTTCTTAATGATAAAAAAATGATATATTTAATAACTGACAATGTCTCAGATTCAATGTAATTAATGTACACATTTCTTCCTTTCACAAAAGTGGGTTATTGTGTAACTTCTTTATCTTAAAATATGTTATGAGCAACTTTTCAAACCATTATTATCTTCCTAAAGCATTTTTAATGACTGTATAGTATTCCTTTTATTGACTGTTATATATCAGTTTAGCAAGTGCTATATTTTGGATATCAAGGTTGTTTCCTACTTTTCCTGATAGATCTTTCCATACTTCTCTGATTATTTGTTAAAGATAAACTCCTAGAAGTGTACATTTTGGATTCAAAAGTCTTAATATAGATTTCCAAATCACCCCACCAAAGAAGATTATACCAGTTTTCTCCACGAGCAATATATCATTTGCCTCCTTATCCCAGCACTGGCCAACACAAAGACCTAACTTTGACTTTTATATTTTCCAACTTCATGTATAAAAACTTATTTTAGTATTATTTTGTTTTCAATCTTTGTATTATTAGAGAGGTGAAAGGTTTTTAAAAAATATATTTATTGTTCATCACCTTCCTTCTTTTATGATTTGTCTATTTTCTATTGATGCTCTCATTTGAAAACTATATGTGTAGCTCATTTGTTTATTACTCCTTGATGTTCAGAACTTCTAAATTGTTTGAATCCTTCTGCATCATTTTGGTTTATTAGCTTTTTTGATTTTACATCTTTTGTAATTCTCAGTTACTTTTATTTTAATTAATTAATCATGTATTTATTTATTAAGTAGGCTCCATGCCCAGTGTGGAGCCCAGTGTGAGGCCTGAATTCACA